TTCTTTCTTAGGCTTATAATAGTCGCGTGCGTAGTGACCTAGCCTATTATAGTTATAACACTTAACTCTTATTATATCCCTTTTACCCTGCTTATCGCTCTATCGGTTAATATTATCGAGCTCTATAGGTCTATTATAGTATCTATATAAGGTGTTTCCGAGCTAGCGTGGGTATGATTATTTTTTTTTCGAATTAGCCGTATAGAATAGAACGCTTATTTAATACTTCTTCTAATAGCGTTATTTATAGTTCCGGTTATCGATACGAATTACTATCGCGGTATATTCGCTAAATATCTTAGATCGGTCTAATTAGTATAGTTCGTCCTTTACTTCTTCCTTAAGTCCTTAGTAGTACCGATCTATAAGGGGCTTATCCGGGTAGCTAAGCTTTAACGAGATTTACTAGAATCTTATAGTATAGTCCGTAGCTAACTTAGTCTAATATAGCTAGCTTAGTCGTTCGGCCGCGACTTATTCCTTATCGGGCTAGCCGAAGATAGTATTAAGTCTCTTAATAAATACGTCGAAGTTCTCGAAGATTACCGTGGTCCCGGGCTTCCTTAGGATCTCTATTCCTATATTCTCTAGGTAGTCTTTATAGATAGACTCGAACTATTTATACGTATCTCCCGTAAGGAGTGCCGCGGTATAGAGTACCTTAGTTTCTTCCGTACGGATACTATCCTAGTAGAATAGGAGGTAGCCTTTAAGCTAAGTAATAAAGCTCTAAAGCTATCCCCGAGTCCCGTCGTACTTAGGGGGTATAGGGTATCTATACTTAGCCCTGATTCTAGGATAGTTTAACTAAGCTCTTAGGGTCGTATTCTCCCCCTAAAGCTAAGTAATTATATCGCGAATCTGCTAAAGGTCGTTACTTCCTCTAGTAGTAGTGGTAGGCGTCGCGGTGCTTATAGCGTTCGTGGTACGGTTATTATTCGATATATTAGAAGAGTGGTTACTAGCTACTTCGTCGTCTTATTAAGGTTATTCTAGTGCTTCCTCTTCGTCGGAGGAACTAGATTCTTCAGACAATGATTCTTCTTCAGATAAAGTGACTTCTTCTTTCTTAGGCGAAGTAGCTTCTGCTTCGGGCGTACTGCTTATTAGCTATCAAGGTCAGCTTACCGAACAGGATCGATTAAAATATTACGACGGCTTCCGGTCCTCTATAGTATAGCGGACGATAAGGGATTAGCGTCGGGGTTTTAGTTTAAAATAAAAAGAGGATATTAACTAAAGAGCAGTAACTATTATTCGTAGTATCTAGTCGTAGTTACGTTATAAAGACTAGGCGTCTTCTTTATAAGGTAGAGTCGAGCGTAGACTAATAGTCCAGGTAAAGACTTAGATTAATCGATATCTTATTCTCTAGTAGAAGTAAGACCTAGGATATTCTGGTTTATATAGTGATAGTGCCTCCTTACCCGTAGTAACTATTCCTTACGTGGTCGGTATGCCTAGGTGATTCTATCGTGACCGATTACTTATTAGTCACTTCGTCGGAGTAATCGACCCTAGTCCGTCCCGGACGGTATACTAAGTACCTCCGTACCTGGTGACACGTGACTTAGCACGTAACTCCCCAAGTCACCCTGTGCTATCCCCCGTCTAGGGCCGTCCCGTGGGATATACACCAGTATACCTATAGGGTTAGTCTATATTAGGCGGCCGGCTATAACACCGGGGCAAAGTCTTAGTAATTCTTAGGAACCCCTATAAACACTATATAGTCCCGAATAGGTAGGAGGACTCTTATTAGCACTATCTAAATTCTCTATTAGTCTAGAAGTTCGCCCGGGAGTTCTGACTTTAAGGCCTCCTACTATTATATAAACTTAGCGTAGGTCTCTCCCTCTCTTCAGGATAAAATAAATTCGCTCTAGATCTATACCGCTACCTCTTTTAGGCGGGTGTTATTATCGTCGACCTAATAGAATAGCTAGGCTTATAAAGCGGCCTAGTTAACCCTATTAGAGTCGCTATCGTATTTATATCGTAGTTTAGCCTGCTAGCGTTCCTTAAGGCAGTAGGGGAAGTATAATATAACGAAATAGTTCTTTGTAGCGTCCGTGGGGAAGGATTAAGAATCTAGGTCGAACCGTTAATTTATGTCCTAGATAAATATACGATACTTAGACTAGGATATACTATCCTATTTAGGTAGAGGAAAATTAAACTTAGCCTATATAGCGGATCCTTGTATAGATATCGTTATAGACACGTCGTGATTATACTAGAAACCTACTAGGGTTACAACACGGCGTTAAGGCTTAGCTATACGATAGTGGGTAGTGCTAACCAGGTTAGGGTTAATAGCGGCGGCGGCGGTAGTAGTAGCGGTAATAGTATCCGCCTCGAGCTTAGTAAGGTAAGCAAGCTTACGCTTACGGTAGTTCTATGCCTTTATCCACTTAACGCGTTTATTTAGTTATTTATCTATTAGCGTGGCTAGGTTAACGTTTATGTGCGGGGGTAGATTAGGATCGTTCGCCTATCACGTCGTGGTCGTAATCTTAGGGGGAACGGGGATAGCAATAGGGATAAGTATAGGTATAGGGGCAGGGATAGGTACCGGTACTGGGGTAGATATAGGAGCCGTGTCAGTTCCCGGCGTGTTCCCGTTATTTCCCTTATCGTGGGGAGCGTCTTCTATAAAAGCGGTCTTGTTATCGCGGAGCTGTCGCTTAAACTAACTAGTAGCCTTATTAAAATCGAAGGTGGGATTATTTATTTCGTGATAGTTAGATATCTTAGTGACTCTTCTTAACGGTCTTCGCGCCCTTAGAGGGTAGAGCGATTAAAATATTAAATACGTAGTCGTAAAAAGTAAAAAGGTAGGGTTAGGTAAGGAACTAGATAGATTCACGATAGGATTAGAATATAGGTATAACTAAAGATTCAGATTAATCGCTGGCCTGCCTCTTCTAAGGGGAGGCTCCTTCGCTCCTTAAGACTACGCTTTGCTACTCCTCGAGGATTACTTTATTTACTTCCTTAAGGGCTACTCTATTTACTTTAAGGGGCTATTCCGTTTACTATATAATAACTGCTTTATTTATGCCTCGAGGGGTCTTAGACCGAGGGCGGCTAGACCCCGATAGGTTTATACTTAGGACCTATTATAACCACTACTGCAGGCACCTGATAATTTACCGAAGAAGGAGATATTAAATTAAAACGCTAAGCAGTCTGTTAAAGTGGTTCTCTTGGTATTTATATTGTCTTTAGATACTTTATCGTCGTTAAAGGGGTCGGAATCGATAGTATCCTTCTTTTAAACGAAGGCCTACTATTTAATATCTTATATTTATGACGCGATATCCCCGGATCTAGGGTTAGGTATATTACCGAGAGACTATTGTATAACCTACTCCACGCTAATAGAACCTAAGCCCGCTATACAAATATAGATAGGAGTCGCTACGATAATCTATAGTAGTAAAATAGTAACGACTTTATATTTAAAATATCTAACCCTGTACTCCAGATCGGTTTAATATTTACCCGATATAATAACTTTATAACTATATAAAAGGGTATATAGAAGGTTCGGCCTAGTGCTATAGTAGCGTCTTAGCTACGTTTATATCTTACACAAAATTTTAGAAAAACGTTAATAAGTCGTTGAAATTGTCGAACGGGGCCTTAATGATGAACGATGAAGTAAATCGTGTTGCACGTCAAAATAGCACTTGTATAATCAACTTGATAGAGCAGAAATCTTGTGTGTGTGTATTATGTTAAGTTATATCTATGTGGGTCTTTTATGCCCTTAACTTAGGTGGTGAAGACTCTGTTATGGGCACTATGTTATTTGGATCCTATCCGGTCTTTTCCGGTATCCTCCTTTGTTATATCCGGATACCCGAGGTCCCCGAGATTCGAAGCCTTTAGTCAGGCATGGATCCCCTAGGGACTATATCGTAGTCCGTGTGCCTATACGACAAATCGTCCTTAGCACCTGCAAATGGGTACTTCGTTGCTACCAATACATAGGGTACTTCTAAGGGGAATCACTTCGTGGATTTCAGATTTCAGGCCCTTCGTCCATTGATTACAAAGGGGAAGGCGTTAGGAACAGCGTCTTCACTATATAACTTTAGCGGCGGAACTTCGCGACAGAGCTGCAGGGGTCTACACTATGATGGGGGTGGCTATAGAAAGAGGTATAAGAACTAATCTGTCGGCTTGGTACCTAGGTAGGTACCTGGATTTTCATTTTCATTTTCCTTTTCCTTTTTCCTTTTCAATTTTCTTTTCTGCCTTCCTCTCGTCTGCTCCCGGGGAGGATTCGCAACTGCTCGTTTATTACTCAGTTACAAAGAGGTGGCACCTAATAATTACCGACGTAGTACGAAATATTAGGCCACGTAATTAAGACTGGTCGACTGAAATGACCGACGAACCGTTAGACCATGACCGAGATAAGGCGTAGCTCAGCCAACGCCTAGGTAGACAACCATATATGCCACGACCCCGCCTACTTTACGGACTCATGTCATCTAAGAAGTTATAAGGCGGTGCCAAGTGTCCCAAACCCCGGGCCGGTGATATCTATCAGGCGAAGATAATTGTGTCGGTCGTCAATTGCGTAGGTTGTCAAGAGAACGTGGGCGTGGGAAGGAAGCCATTGGGACCATCGACGAGGCTGCGGGCCGCTTGTGACAAAACCACCCTGGGCCTCAAATCGGATTCCGACGGCTGCTATTGGAACGACCACGGCATATAGCTTTATGGGTAAGAGTGCAACGTTTAGTCCTCGTCGCCATCTCGAAACATCGGTCGGTCAACTCGCCTACCCGCATTCTGACAGGTAAAGTGAGATGCTTAGCAGTTCAGAAAGATAGGGAAAGGAGGGCAAAAGAAATATGAGGGCTGGTACAGAAATGACTCGCGACCACACCCAGCAATCGATTTGCTTCTGTCATCCCGTGATACGATCTCGGGTCATTTCATGGCCCTGATATGGCGGATGCTTGGTAAGAGACGTGTTACGTAGCATGAGCAGAGTCCCGGACCTGGCATGGTCGTGACCAAACCTGATAGGGGCTTGTGCATCGCGAGCCCTTCACCTTCTGGGAAACAAGACAAATAAATATATGCCATGTGGTGCAATTTGCGGAATGTGAACATCGACGTCTCGTAGATCGCAGGCCACGGCATGTCGGGAGTCGACAGGAAAGGGAGCAAACGGGATGACCACAGCGCCGCAGTTGGTATCGAACGGACGGGCCGTTTGGGTAGGGGTGCACGGCACGAACTGTGGGAGACGGCATGGCTGCCGGCAGTAATGTCGTTATGCCCTGTGGACAAAAGCTGGGGAATTGTGAGGACGGGGCTGCCTGGGCATTGAGCAATGAGCAATTAGCAATCGACTGAGGGTTTCACGGGGGTTTGTTCTACTGCCGCTTTTGCTCAGGCCATAAGATGATGCAGCAAGCTTCCAAAGGCTTTGGAGCATCGGCTCGATGGTTGACTTGGAACTAGAAAGAAGAAGAGAAAAAAAGTTCAAGGTCCGTTTGAAGGGAGTGGGGATACTTGTACTCCGGAAGCGGCGTGGAGAGGCACAGGGAGATCAATACAACATATTGCCCATGCTATCGCAAATGGAGTTTCCGATGTCGAATCGCGGCGCGGCATATGACAGTCCCGCGGGTGCCTTTGGATAGGGGATTTTGCATCCTAAGGAATGCCTCATGCCAATGAAAAGCTCCCGTCTTCGTACGAGCGTGCAGCCTCCGCGTTACGAAAAGGCAAACGGTAAGGAGGAAGAGAAGCCGGCTGTAACGACGGTCATTCCCATTCCAATCTAAGGTACGAATATATCACTCCTTGTTCTTCCCTTATCCGTACATGGATACCAGGCCAGTGGTCGAGTCGTTCCTGCTGTCGCTGTCAGTGGTTTTCTTTGTCTGACATCACGACTCGAAACTGCAGCCTTGACTGCTTACGTACGGAGAGGCAGTGACCTTTCCCGTCGTCGACTGGGCCCACCCCGTTCCCCTCTCTCTTAACCCCCCTAGCCATGGTACGATTACTCAATATCCAACGGAAAGAGTTCTGATTGGTCCGTCCCTGACATGCCCCGTTGAATCACCTCCCCCTTGATGACAACCCCTGTCTCAGGTGCAGGGTGTCCCCGCAGGTGCCTGCAGGTTCTCGGTTGTGCCTGGCCCATTACCCTAGCCCACTCCAATCTCTCAGGGGTAAAAAGGTCCCGCTATCTGCGCACAGGACAGCCCAGCTGTACCTGTACGAACCGTTGCTATTAAATTCGCAGCCATTGACTTGGTACCAGTACCAGGTGGACAACGAGACTCTCATTCCCACCCCTGACACTGACACACACACCATGCGACTAGGCGTCCGTCTCCTCTGCCGTCTTCCTCTCCTTCATTTTCCTGGTTTGTTGGTTCGTTCTTCCACCGTTGTGCACCCACCATTCATTCGTTCGTTCTCCTCCGCTTCCTGTCCAGTGAACCGAATTGTCCGACCCAGAGGGAAAGGGAGGGGGAAAAAAACCAAGCATCACTCTTTTCTTTCTTTTCCTTCGTGTGTTTCGCGACCTGTATCACAGACTGCGTTTGCTACCATTCTTTTCCACCGTCCACCGGTTTTCTTCTTTGGAATTTAGCGACGTCCGAGGCACGTCGCGGGCTCTGTCAACCTATCGTCGAGTCGAGCTTCCCTGATATCCCCCTTGCCTAGGCATATACGAACAACCGAATCCCATCCATCCCTACTACTGCCGCCTTCGAGACATACATCTACGAGTCCGCTCGCTGAATCTCGTCTTCGATCATTCATTCGCTCAAGAAAGTCCAGGGAACTCAACTTTGTTCCTCCAGTTCGACCGCCAGGACCGCACCATTCTCGGTCCCCAGTCCATTGTGCAGGAAATCATTGGGCCTTTCTATGTCATACGGCATCTTCCATTCGCTGAGCCCTGGACCTTGTGCCTTTCCTTTTCTCGACGCAAGAGCCGACATCTTTATCTCGCCCATTTCCCTTCGATTTTTTTTTTGAGTTGCCATCCAACATCGTCGGGCAACACACAATTCGTCGGTCTCTTTTCGGTATCAACTTTTAAGCTGCTTGAGCTCGTAAAGGGGAAAAAAATCTTTCAGGACTCGTCGACTCTACTTGCCCCTCGTTGAACATCGAACTGCCGCGCAACCGAGTTCGGCGAGGTTTGCTGGAATATTTTCGAGGGCCGCCAAGAGCACAGCGAGGTACGTTGCCCACATTCCCAAGTTCACGCCGTTCGGGACGTTCAAGACGAGCATCTGCATTGCCATGGTCGGAGTCTCCGGCTTATAGACCAAATGAAATTCACTCTACATTGAGGACGCATGGCTTAAAAGTTTAACCATCCGTGGCCGGCTCCGAACTCATCAGTCGTTCGAACCCCGACGCCGCTGCTAACTCGCATATTCACAGGCCTATTCGAGTAACGAGCCTTTTACGTCCCTAGAATCTCTCTTCGTTTGTCCGATGTAACGATTGCCTTGACGACATTTGAGTGAGCAATACTGCCCACCTACGTTGCCATCCCGACTTTCTCATTTTCTTCAACTCTACAATCATCAAGCGAATTGGGCCATCCACTTGGCCACCATATCGTCACCATGAATCGCTTCCGGACGAAGAAGAAGGCCAAGGACGACTCGGCCCCACGTCCATCCCATGACTCGGAATCCTCTACACCCTTCAGGTTGTTCGGCAAGAGCAAGAAAACACAGGAGGAGGAACCCAAGAAGGAGATCGACCTTAGCACGGCATTGCCGTCCAACGATGACTTCCGAACCAGTTTGCTGATGACCGGACTCTCAGCACGCTTCTCTATGCTCAAGGAACAGGACGACCCGACCACGAAAATTGGGAAAGCCAGCGACGATAGTGTCCTCTTCCCTAAGCGCCAATCGAGGTTGGACTTCGGCTTTGGACTGGGGGATATCGCCGAGGTAGAGTCAATCCGGTCGAAACCGCCTTACGCTCGGATAGATTCGTTCCACTCCTCTGACGGTTCGACGTCAGGGAGCGTCCTGGACCGTGCCAAACCCACCGAAGGTAACAATCTGTTTGGCGGTCGGCAAAAGATCTACAAAATTCCTGCCGGGAAAAATGGCGACGGCGTCTTGCGGGGCAAGGCTCTCTACGAGGACGACGTCGCCGTGTCTTCCTTTCAGCGTTGGCGGCAAGCCGAGAAGGCCAAGTCATGGCAGGCCGAACAGGATGAACCGGACACGCAGGGAAAGCGCCATGACCAGGATGAGCAGCCCACCTTGGGTTCGGACGTCCCTCGCAGCGAATCTCCCCACCCCGTCCACTACAATAGGAAGCGCGAGACCAACTCGACGACATCGTCCGCCCCATCCGCCAATCGGGACTCCACAGCAGCAACCTCCATCACTTCCCAACCAACACCCTCCGTCAAGGACTGGCAATCCGCACCGACCTCCAACTCGGCCACTGGCACTCCGGCATTGGAACGAACCGTTACCAGGACGAGGCGGCTCTACGAGACTGGCCTGATGAACGACTTACAGGAACAGCAATCATCCGCCCTCTCGAGAATCGACACCCTGTCCCGACCCCGCCACTTTGGTGCCCGGACGCCTGAGCTATCCAGTGGCCCCTCGCCGACGACCAATCACAATCTTTTCACCGAACGTTTCGGGGACAAGAAAGTCTTGGTAGGCAAAAGCAGCGTCCCGAATATGCGTTCTATGAGCCCTCCCACGACAGGGTCATCCTTGGGAACCATGGACCTCGGCATTCGGATCCCCAGCGGTGGTGCTGAGAACAAGCCCTCGTGCTCGTCCAGCAGCGCCCCTCCCCTCAGTCCTCCCGTCAGCGAAGCTGAGGAGACGAGTCCCCTCCAAACCCAACCAAATGATCGCGGAAAGGCGAGCGCCCTCGGTATCTTCCAGAAGCCCGCGCATGCATACGATGAAGCGAAATACGCGCAAAAACAGATCCAGCTCCAACAAGGACGAGAAACCCCTACGAATCGTTTCCGCGCCGAGTCTACAACCTCCTATACTAATACGGTGCGCTCGCGTTCCTCGTCATCAGTGTACCGGCAACCTCTCGACAGGGCGGATTCCCCCGCCGTGCACACCGAACTCACCGTCACGGAGGAGGAGACGGGCGCATCTTGCGATAGCGTGCATGGTGTGGAGGCCGAGCGAGATGACCCACCTCGCAGGCCGCCTTTGTCGCGAAATGGCACGTCGTCGTCGTCTTCGCAGTCCAACCGGCCGCGCCCTTCCGATCTGGATCATCCTGCTTTCCGAGAACCATCTCGGCCTGCTCCCCTATTGTTGCACTCGTCCAACGCACCAGAAGAGTCGTCATCCGCTTCGGAGAAAGTTGATGCGAAGGCGCCTGATCACAGGTCTCCCGTGGACTCGCCAACCCTTGGTCCCGCCTCCGGTCTGAGCGGCATCGTCCGCCAGCACCTGCGCTCCGACAGTGACGCGTCCTCGGTGTACGGCTTCCCGACCTCAGATAGCGCTAGGACATTCTACGACGCCTATATGTCCCAAGATGCCAAGGCCGATTGGGATGCTCCGACTCGCCCATCAGATTCACAACCGTCCCAGCCACAGGCATCTCTTGCAGGACACGAAGCCCAACTGGAAACAAAGCTCAAGGCGATTCAAGAACGCCTCGACGAGTCGGCGAGACCATCACCTGCCGCGACGCCACAACCGGGCGCAGGGAGCGACACTGATAGAGAGAACGAAGACTTTGCAAAGCACTTGGCGGATGGCGCACGGCGGGTGCGGGAACGACTGACGTCCTACGTGGGGTTGGATAGCCGGTCGGTATCGCCTCAACCACCAGAAACCCGCGACGGGCAGGGACATCCCTCCCGGCCGAACGCGCTAAACCTGCTCAGGACCAAGTCGAGTCGCGGTTCTTTGGTCGACGGCAGCCGCAGCCGCGACCCTGAGCGCGAGCGTGAGCCTGAGCGTGAGCTCGAGCAATGCCAGTCTACCAAGGCGATGAAGATGCTTGGCATCGGCTTGGCCACGATGAGCAGCTCCCCAAGTCCCAACAAGCGCAGTTTCGAATTGGAGAGGGATCTTCTGTCCCCGATGTACGAGGAGGCCGAGGGCGCCCCGGTCGAACCGGAGTCCAAGCCGCCGTCCCCGCCTCAGGCCCAGCCCCAGAGCCAGCCTCCGACCCAGCCCCAGCCTCCGACCTCAACCCAACCTCAGACCCAACCCCAGACGCAGGCCGAGACTCAACTCCGGGCACAGCATGACCCCCAGGCGGAACAGCATCCCGAGGCTCCACCGGCGTGGGAACGGCGGGAAATCGAGGAAGAGAAGAGCGAGGGGATGCATGCAGGACTGCGGGCTTTCCGACAGGCGAGGAGAGAGCTCCAGAGACTGAAGGAGGCGGAAATCAGGCAACGTCGCCAGCAGCCTGGTGCACTGGCTGGCCAAGCTCCTGGAGCGCCTGGAGATTCCCCGACTCCATCGCCAGTGCAGTCGCCTCCCCAGCCTTTACCGTCAGGCCAGCCCCCGGCGCCGTCGGCCCATGAGCATCAACGTTTGGCGCAGCAATCTCCTTCGCGCGAGCGGAGGCCACCACCGTCTTCCATGAACTACCAGTATCGAGTCCCGAGCGAAGAGGCCAGACGCAACGGGTCGCGGCCGCCATCTCAGACGCAGCAGCGCGATAGGAGTGGTTCCGAGAATAGCGCCGGCAGTCGATCCCGCAGTCGGCCCCCGGCACTTCGGAACCCGGCGGCGCCGTACGACGGGCTGTCTCCGAACGGCGCTCAGCCTCAGCCAAGGCTCATGACACGATCACCGGGGTTGCCGGGCACCGATATCAGACGGTCTCCCTTGATGCCTTCACCCGGATATCATGCTGCACAACACCCTTCTCCTGGGCAGGCACCATCTGGACCTCTTCCCGGTGCCCCGTCGGGCTATTTCGATCGCTCGGTGTCGGGGAATCTGAGAGGGCAACTCCAACCGCGTGTGCACGAATCAGGCCAAGCATCCCCGATATCGCCAATCTCCCCTATGCCATCGCCGTACGTGACGCATTCGGGAGCTGGCACACCGACGACGCTTGGGCCGTCATCCCGCCGGCCCTCTGCGCCTCCTACGCCTAACCTAGACGTCTACGGCAACACAACGCAGCGTGTCGACGACCCTATGCGGAGGACGGTCAGAAAGCGGGATATTTCGGAGCCCACGTTTGTTTCGAGTACATCACGCGTTCCCACCGTCAATCTTCCTGAGGAGCAACATCGGGTGCGCGCAGGCAGCGGTACACTTGGAAGCTCTGCTTCGAACCCCAACCTCGATGGGTCGGCAGCTGCGGAAACGTCGTCAACGCACGCGCCACCGTTGCCTCCGCTCAACCCCAGGAGGCGCAACATGACGGGCCCCAGTCAACGGAGTCCCGACGAGCACGGTCTAGGCTTAGCTCCCCCCAGTCTCGTTCCCGGGGAATCAGATCGGAACAGCGCCTTTTCGCACAGTGACGACGAGGATGCGCCGGTGCGTGAGCGGAGGAAGCTACGCAAGTCGCCCAGTGAGATGGGCACGATGAACGTGAAGGCTCGCCAGGCGCAATTCGGGGGCGGCGTCCGGGCGGCACCGCCGCCTCTCTCGACGCCACCCATGAACAGTCCCCGCATGCCGGGCGGCATGATCTAGCCAGATAAGTCGTCGGGGCGCTCTCCTCACACCGAGTAAGAATGTTTCGAACCGGCAAATGGCGTTTTGGCGGTTCATGGGTTTTTTTTTTTCGTTTTCCTTTCTTTTTCCTTTTTTCTTTTCTTTTCTCAAGCATATGTGCTTATATTGTCTTTATTCCATCAACCTACGAGGAAGTGGAGGCCCAGCGGATAACAAACATGCATCAACACAGACGGATTCTGGCGGGAGACCTGGCGTCTGGCTCGTGCAAGCAGGAGTCAGCACATGCAGGTATATTTGGCTGCCTGGAACAGTCGACTTGGTCGGGGATGTTGGGACGGTCTTGACCCCTTTTTTGATACTATATTTCACCCTTCTTTTTCCTTCTTTGCCTCCTTCTCTATATTCTCCTCTGTCTTTCTTAGCACTATACCACCAAGTCTACAGTACATTACCTTCATTGCAGCTTTTATGAACACCTGCACAAGGGGACAAACAGTATAAAATAATTTGGATCACTACTGAATCTGCTGGTCGTTGCCGGATGGGGGAATACTGTTCCCCGTGGCTAGTGTCAGCTCAGCAATATAGTGCCGCAAGCCACATATGATTTGGTGCACGTATCCATGAAAGTTGCCGACGCCTTCCCGCTTATGCCTAGCGGTCGGTCTATGGACGAACAGGGGACGTTGGGGATTTGACAGTGTTGACTTTGGGGAATGAGGTGCAACAAGGCGAGGGGAGATATCGGGCCGTGGACCGTGGGCTGTGTGAATGGGCTGTCATATACGGATAATAAACACGCCGAGTCTATTCATGTTAAACAGGCCATCGATACCCCAGCCATCAGGAGTTCAATGGTTCATCATCAAGGCCTCGCATCAAATTAACTCTTTACTCCAACCACATCACGGACAAGACCCCACATCTCATCAGCATCATCGCCCCGAGCTGCGAGCATATATGACAATGGCACATGCGTTCATCCGTCCGTACGAGTCCAAAGACTTTGACGCCACGGCGCACATTGTACGTTTCGGATCCGATCCCCTGGCACATGTGCAGGTGCTCGCTCTACATGCCTCTCGCGGCCGAAGTCCCCCCAAAAAGCGAACATGAAGCTGACCTTTTCTTTTTCCATGTCTCTCGTAGTGCCGTGAGACACTCCCCCCATCGCTCCACGACACCCCGCACGCGCGGCGGCTGGCGCCCTACATCTGGACGCATCCGTACACGCACCTCTCGCCGTCGACGTGTCTCGTCCTGGACGACGGGACGGGCCGCGCAGTGGGATATTGCATCGGGTGTCCCGACGTGGAGGCCTTTGCGCGGGCCGAGAACTACGCGCGGTACCTGGATGAGGTGCTGCTGGGCCCGCGGGGTGGGGGTGGGGAGGTTGGACCGCGGCCGGAGGTGGAAGCGGGGGAGAAAGCGCCGTGGATGGCGCCGAGGGCTGATGGTGGTGGTAGTGGTGGTGGCGGCGGTGAGTCTGGTGACGGGACCGGGGTGGAGGTGAATGAGGTTGCGTTGCGGCAGTTGGCGTACGATGCCGAGGTGGCGGTTTTGCGGGGGACGGAAGTGCTTTGGGAGACGTATGGCGCGACGATGCATATTGACCTGCTTGGGCCGTGGCAGGGGAAGGGGTGGGGGAGGAAGTTGATTGAGGCGTTTGTTGAGAGTGTGAAGGCTGCGGACCGTGAGAAGAGTGGTGGGACGAGGGTGTATAAGAAGGGGATTTGGATCGGGGTTGCTGGGGATAACGGAAAGGTCGTCCCCTTTTATGAAAAGGTCGGCTTTCGAGTGAGAGAAGGGGGCGAGAAGGTGGGCACGATGTGGATGGTGAAGGATATTGAGTGAGTAATCTGATGCGAGGCGTACATATATATATATATATATATATTATACTTATACTCTGTGAGACAAAACCAAGCCTGGCCATGATCAACTCTCTCGAACCTCCTCCCCCCTCGGCACAATCATGCCATGCACCCCCTTATACGGCGCCACCTCAGCCGGCTTCCGCCCTCCCCGTACAAGCAACGAGGGATCCTCCAGCCGGAACACCTCCACTTTCAAAGGCCTGCAGCACTTGACCATCTCCTTTTCGCTCTCAGCCCCGAACCCCCACAGCGACAAGCCCCCCCCAGGACACGTGCTCAGGGCCATGAGGACATCCGTCTCGGCGAGGAACTCGATGGCATCGCCAGCCGTGGCCGGGCAAGGGTTCATAAAGTAGCGGCCTTGCCCGTCCAACCCGGTGACCTGGAACAAGTTGATGACGTCGTGTACGTCGCGCTCGTCGAGGCCGTGGGGGAGCACGGCGCGCGTGAGGTTAGAGTGGCAGTGGAAGTCGTACGACGCGCCGCCGCCGGCGAGGATGGAGTTGATGTACGGGTCGCAGCGCGTGCCGAGGAGGTCGTGCACCCGGCCGCCGTGCTCGTCTCGGCCGTACCAGGAGAGGGAGTCGTGGAGGATGGTCAGCAGGGGACGCATGTAAGGGAGGGTGGACCAGAGCCTGTCGTGGGTTGTTAGGTGGGTGGAGTGGAGCTGGCGGGTGCGGGACGCCCAGAAGCGCTCGCGTGGGTTGTAGGCGTTCCAGATGTTTAGGTCGCCGACTTGAGATCCCGCGGGGGTGCTGATCCGGATGATGGACCCTGCGTCTGCTTTCCATGCCTGGCCTGATCGTATGGGGATGGTGAATTCTTCAGTAAGCACCCGCGGCGCACCTTGGATGGTGTTGTAGAGGGTCTTGTCGACCGTCAGGGCCGATCCCGTCTTGGAGAGGTAAGCTGGCACAGGAGGAGGGATGGGTGGGCGGTCCTGAAGGAGTTGGGATGCATCTTTCTCCGAAATAGACATTATCATATGAGTCTGAATGGCAATGTTGAAGAGCAACGAAGAACTGAATTCAAGGTGATGTTCCAGGATGGACGTCGTTAAGACCCCGCACCTGGGCTGCTGGGTGGGTGGTGATATATAATCGGCGTAAGTGCATGTGGTGATGGACTAGGGGTGATCTATAGTGGACTAACACCTCTGACACTCCACTTACGGTCACATTTTGGCAAGATTGCAAGACTATTGGGGGTTTTAGAGTCGAACTGTTGTCAATTGTCCCGAACACTTTTATTATCCATCCTCGAAGCTACCCAGTAAGCTACTGCTGAACTCGGTTGTTGAATCAAGGTAAAAGACTGCTTGGCCTCTTTCAAAGGAGAGAGAGAGGGCGGGGGGGGGGAGAAGAAAAGTTATGTTCAGGGTCAGGGGCTAAGACGACTAAACAACTCTGGATAGGGTAGGTCATAGGCTACGGTTAAGGAAATCCACTCTCATAGCATTCTTATGGCATTCTTATAGCATTCTTATAGCATTCTTATAGCATTCTTATAGCATTCTCATAGAATAACCAAATTTTATGAAGGGTATATGAGACTTGAACTCATAACTCAGCAGCCGTAATACTACTCTTTACCTTTAAGATAATACCCTTTAAGCTTAAAAATAATAAGCTTAACTACTATTTAGTAGAGTTAAATTAGATCATCAATAAGATAATCTAAGAACGATAAATCCTTCGAATCTTCTTGTTCAAGAACAAAATCTATAGGAGATAAATAATCTTCTTCTTTTTCCGGTCCATATAATAATATATTAATATTATCAATCATGGCTTTTAAAGAAGTACTATTAGAACCAGAAGCATTACCTGAATTAGAACCACCTGATCATCCACCAAAGCCACTAGAAGTTCCGCCGTTGTTATTATTATCATCATCGTTATTATTATTACGATCTGGTTTTAAACGTTTTGATTCTTTTTCCTCATCGGAGTCCGAATCACGCGATCTTTTTTTTATGTCACGAGGGGGAGTTACATCATAGATATTTACATCACTACTTAGATAAAAATCACTAGATTTAGGTCCTACTTTATCTTTCGATTCTACATTATCTTTATCTTGCATTTCTACATTTTTTGAATCTTCCTTTTCTATAGAAGGACGAATATTATCTTCATTAATAGGTTTTATATTCTCTGGATTAGAGTCTACAAAAGGATTACTATTTGTATTAGCAGGATTACTATTTGTATTAGCAGGATTACTATTTGTATTAACAGGTTTTCAATTATCTGGGTTATTTCATGGATCTACAGAACGATTATTATTACTATTATTTGTATTATCATTCAAGATTAGAACAGGAGGACGATTAGAATCATTTTCTGTATTTTGCGATTGTACAGAACGATTAAGAGCGCTGTTCCGTATTCATTGCGATGTTACAGTGTTTAATTCTTCCGAATTTAGAGAAGGAGGACTCTTAAATCCATCTTTAGGCTTTTCTTCTTCGGTAACTCTACGATAACCTGGTAGTATATTTAGAGATCCAGTATCAGAAGGAGTACTAAATCAATAATCCTCAGAATTAGATAATTTATTATCTGAACTATCTTCTCCATAAGTATTTGGATTAGGTTTAGAAGATTAGGCCGCCTAAGCTATAGCTCTTTCTTCAGGAGTTAAATAAAGTACTTTCTTATTTGAATCTGTATCTTGCATTTCTATATCTGATATGCCAGATATAGGAGAATCTGTTACATTAGGGACTTCATTATTATAAGTAGGAAGATTATTATTTTGTCCTCCGGTAGTATTTTAGCTAGAACTACCACCATTATTTGAACCCCCTTCTAGTACTTATAATAGACTTAACGCACTAAAAGATCTTCTCTATCCTATATAATTTATAAAACTAACTTTTTTAAAACTACTATAAGTAAAAGGTTTTAATTTTATATCTTTTCTTAATCTAGTCTTAAATTTAGTAGTAAAGCTCTCTTTTAAATTTTCTTTAGGAGGAGCGGTGGCCGATAGTATAGATATTATATCTAGTATTATATTACCTATACTATTAGCAACCATTCTAAAAAAAATTGCAATATTACCCTATTTATAGCTATTAGCATAGAAGAGTGTAAAATTCCACAGATTTCAGAACATTATCCATAATAAGTTCCTGGTCTATTAAGAATAGTAGATACTTAATTTAATCTACCAGGATAAGTATTATATTTTATACCTAAAGCAGGTATAACAAAAGAATATATAATATCTCCAGATATTATAATAAATCTTAGATATATTTCTTCAGGTAGAACTACTCTATTATCTACTTCTAACATTCTTAATCCATCTTCTTCTAAATCTGATTCTAGTACTATGTATGAATCAAATTCTATAATTTCATCATTTAAATCTAAGAAATCAGGATATTGATAACTTCAGTATCATTGATGACCTTCTACTGTAATTGTCATTGAAGGATCATTAACTTCATCCATTAAATATAATAATTTAAATGAAGGGAAAGCTATTAATATTAATATAACAGCTGGGGTTATAGTTCATATTAATTCTATTAAAGTACTATGATTTAAATATTTGTGTGCTATAGGTGATTTATTTTCTATAAAGTATCTAACTATAGAAAATAGTACTTAACCTACTACAAATAAAATTAATACTAAATAATACATAATATTATCATGTAATTCAACTAATCCTTCTATTTAAGGACTCGTACTATCTTGGAAATAAATACCTTAAGCAGTAGGTGCATCTAAATTAAAACTTTTAAATAATAATATAGTCATTATATACTGCTTAAATTATTAACATAATTTATCCATATAAGATAAAAGAAAATTATGCTATATATAATAGCAAGAAAGCCATCATAAGTGTAAATAAACCTATAGCTTCTGAAAAAGCAAATCCTAATATAGCATAAGAGAATAATTGACCTCTTAATGAAGGATTTCTAGCTACTCCTAAAATCAATGCTCCAAATACTACTCCTATTCCTACACCTGCTCCAATTAAACCTATAGTTACTAAACCTGTTCCTATTATTTTTGCTGCTTAAATCATAAAATTTACAATATATACTCAATTATATAATATTTTTGATGGATTCACACAAACATTATATGTGTATGAATTCTATAATTACTTAAATTATTATATATTTTTTATATCAGGAAAACTCGGATTTGAACCAAGTACTTTAAGGTTGAAGCTTAATGTTTTGCCAGTTAAAGTATTTTCCTTTTAAGAAATACGTGATTTGAACACTTAACCTTCCGTGTGTAAAACGGCTGCTCTACCGCTAAGCTAATTTCTTTATTTAATTATTTTGAAATATGTAATTAATTAAACTAACTATGATAAACTTTTACTTGATTTTTTTATTATCAATATAGCATCTATCATTACTATTAATAAAATAAAACTAACTAATATTAATCACATATTATTAACAGTATATAAAATATTTCCTATACTAGATATATGACTTATATCTATTAAATTACCATCTCAAGTGTTACTTAAAGCAAAAAATAAATCATTATTTACATTTATTATTTTGTTATTATTTATAGTTTCTTGTTTATTTAAGGATATGTAATAAATAATATTATTTATATAATTATTATTATTATTTAAAATTGCTAAATCATAAGGTAATATTTGACATATTGAATAGTTAAAGAATATAGTAATAATTAAAGCTAAAGGTATACTATTTTTAGTATTACTTTATAATTCACTAACTCTAATATTAATTAACATTAAAATAAATAAGAATAAGATAGAAACAGCACCTAAATACACGATTAGGTATAAAAATCCTATAAAATTTAAATCTAATAATATTAAATATAAAGACATTCCTCCAAATAATCCTACTAAAAATAACACAGAAACTATAGGATTTCTACTTACTATGACAGAAATTCCATATAATATTATAAATAAAGATATAATATCTAAAGCTCCTGTTTTAAATCCACTAGTATACATTTTATCTATAATAAATAAATTTGTTATTAAAATTTTAGATATAATTACCCTACAAGGGAAGATTTTTAAGTGGTATATAACCAACGTTAGTTATATTTATAGTAATAATTACGGAAAGAAGGTGAGTCGAACACCCAGGTACTAACGTACACAATATAGCAAAATGCTTGCCTTACCGATGACAACCTTTCCTTTTTATTATATTTAAATATACTTACTTTTTCTTATTAGAAAAATACAATAAAAATTTACGAATTAGACCGGCATCGAACCGATATCTATTTTCGTGACAAGAAAATCCTTTACCAATTAAGTTACTAATTCAATTATTATTATTATTACTATATTTTATATAACAATACATATTTTACCTCTTACGATTAGTCGGACTCGAACCAACAAATTCCGTGTAGAAGACGGCGATTTTACCATTAAATTATAATCGCTAATAAATTTTTTCTTCACAATCTTTTTTTATATAAACCAATCTATTACTATAAATTCTATAATTATATATATTATTATAGAATAGGACCTAATGGATTCGAACCAATATTATAATGATTAAAAGTCATACGTATTAACCTTGATACTAAAGTCCCTAATAAAAAATTTTATACATAATGTTTTGTTATAACTAATTAGCAGATATCTACTTTAAATTATCTACCGATTACGAATAGCTTTAATCGCCTATCTAACGTTTAGGGTAATTAGGGGGTATATCGAATAGATTATAGTCTTTTCGGTTACGTAATAGGCCGGATTATTAAGAGTATAATCCGGGTAGACGCTTACAGAATCTGCACTATATAAAATACGGTAGTAGCATTTCCCTAACGGTCTAAGACAGTTATAATTATATATAATTGCCTTAATCAATTTTGACCTATTTTGTGACGATTTTGACTACGCTTTATCTGATAGTACTCGCTATTATACGCGGAGGATTTTTACCTTAGGATTCGTGTCTTATAAGGATACTAGTAGGTTTTCTTCAGATAGTATATTAAGGACCTCCTAACGGATAGCCTTAGCGAGTATAGGATAAGTATATATGGTTCGGGTAACTTATTTACTAAAGGCCTTCTTAACCTATTATTCTTCGTGGGTAGCCTACTACTATACTCTTTTAGTAAAGGTAAGGTAGATATCTCCGCTAGGTAGCTTCCGTGCCGCTACAGTATTATATCGGGTGGTTATAGCGTTTATAGCTTACATAATTTCCTTTAGGGTCCTGGCTCTAAGGGGCTAGTCTTCCAGGAGGGTTTCTTAGCTGATAATTAGTTTACGGTAATACTTAGCGGGGATTATTTTAGGGGGGACCACGTCGTGGTCCGTGTGCCCATACGATAACACGTGGATACTTAGGTAGGTACCTATACAATTGTACCTTAGGCATGCAATGCGATGCGCCCCACCCGAATAGTAAGGACAGCTTTTCAACTTTTCATGTGGTCTATAGACATACAAAAGCAGGCCTATAGCTTATGTTATAGAGGCATGAATGTTCTTTTAAGAATACCACGAAGGGGACACCCTGTTCACTAAATCATAGCTACACTCGACTACGGGAAACTTCCACCCACAATAATCACGTCCTGGTAAACTGTAGTTTACTACTCGACACGCCGTCGATAGCCCTATCATCGTGTCCCTTCCCGTCCTTTGCTTGTTCTCTCTCCCCAGTTCGTTATTTCTATATATCCCTTTTCATATCATGATGGTGAAGGCCTCAACCTTTGCGCTAGCTGCGGGGCTTATTTCTGTGTCCTTCGTATCGGCCCTCTCTGCAGACAACATTCCAGCCGATATACCCGTTTCCGCCCTTCTCGACTCTGCACAGACTCACCTCTCTAGGGGTGAGACTAGCGACGCATTGCTGTTTTACGATGCTGCTATAGCTCGTGACCCGTCCAATTACCTTTCTCTCTTCAAGCGTGCCACGACCTACCTTTCTCTTGGTCGAACATCGCAAGCGACGGAGGACTTCAACAGGGTTCTGACACTCAAACCTGGATTCGAGGGAGCCCACGTCCAGCTTGCCAAGATCAAGTCGCGAAACGCAGATTGGGTTGGCGCGAGGGAGCATTATGTGCTGGCGAACAAGGATGCCTCCTCGGCTGAGATGGCGGCTCTCGACCAAGCGGAGAGCGAGGCTCATCTAGCGAAGGCTGCTGAGAAGGCCGGGGATTACGAGGCTTGTGTTCACCATGCTGGGGAGGCCTTGATGATGGCGAACCGAGCACTCTCCCTGCGTGACATGCGGTCGCGCTGTCGATTTGCTCGCGGCGAAATAGAAGAGGGCCTGGGCGATCTACAGTACGTCTTACAGCTACGACCGGGCGATGTCGCCCCTCACCTCACTGTGTCTGCGACAACCTTTTACGGTCTGGGTAACCTGGATGCTGGCATGACGCAGGCCAAAAAGTGTCTGCACTCGGATCCGGATTCGAAGCCCTGTAAAAAACTGCTCAAGCAGCAAAAAACAATTGACAAAATTCTCGGCAAAGTCAGCAAAGCTTTTGAAAAGAACCAACCTATGACAGGCGTCAAGCTGCTCATCGATACTGCACAAGAACCTGGATTGATAAACATCATCACGGCCCAGGAGGAGGATTTAAGACAGAAGGGGTTTATCCCCTCGCGAGCGCCCTCTGATCTGTACATGAGGGTGGTAGAGATGGCGTGTGAAGGCTATTACGAGGTAAGTCGGGCTCACATTCCCTTCACAATGTACTGGGTGGTTGCAGCTGGCTCACTTTTTTTCCCCTGACAGATGAATGGAAAGAAGACCAAGCAATACTGCGGCGATGTTTTGACCCTCAATCCAGAATCTTTCTTTGGCCTTCTCCACCAAGCCCGGGACTTGATGGATAGGGAAGAATTTGAGGATGCCGTCCGGACTCTACAGAAGCTCGATGACAGCAGACCCGACAAACGAAATGTGGTCCAACCACTCCTACAAAAAGCGAGGTTGGCCCTCAAACGCAGCAGAACCAAGGATTACTACAAGGTCCTCGGCGTCCCTAATGATGCTGATGACCGTCAGATCAAGTCGGCTTACCGGAAGCTGTCCAAAATACATCACCCTGACAAGGCCGTGAGGCAGCGCATGACAAAGGAGGAAGCCGAAAAGAAGATGGCGTCCATCAACGAGGCGTACGAGGTTCTCAGTAATCCGGAACTACGTGCTCGGTTTGACCACGGTGATGACCCTAACGATACAGAGCAGCGGGGGCATCCTTTCCAACAAGGACATCCCTTCGGTTCACCCTTCATGTTCCAACAAGGTGGTGGAGGGGGGCAGCAGTACAAGTTCCATTTTGGCGGAGGAGGCGGTGGTTTCGGCGGGTTTCCGTTTTAAGCAAAAATTTACAAAACCCCGTATGGCCATTCGGGAGCCCCGTCTCTACTCTCCTAGCCCCCACCCTGGCCGCGGTCTTCAGAAGCTGCGGGATAGGGAGGGGTTATAAGCGGGAGGAGTTCCGGAGTTACTTCTTTCGAAACATTTGTTTTTTATTGCGCTAAGCGGCAAGGGGCTCTTTTCTTCGCCTTGATGTTGGAGTAACCTGCTACCTGAGTGAGTAGTGTGAAGAGCAACATCGTTAACACCAACAGATAATAGGAGCGTATGCGTAACTAACCAGTTGGGATTCGGGTTAACGTATTAGTCCATGGCGAGACCCTCACACGTGTATGCTCTACCGTTGGTGCTTTGACGATCTTAGCAGTGCTACTAAGACCGTTTCGACTAACTTGTTGACCCAAAAGAAAACCATGGAGAGTATCGGAATCTGATCAAGTCGAGAGAACCGGTAAAGGCTGGCCAAATAGAGTTCTTGGTCCCCATGGATAGTGCCCAGTGCTATTGGTGACCAGAGGGATTGATGCATTGAGGTATTGAGGGGTTCCATACGACCAAACAATCCGCGCATTGGTAATTGGTAACAGAAGAGCACTCCATGAAGCTACATGAACACAGCAAGACAGACGCTTGGGTTCAATTGTCGCGCCATGATCTGGACCGAGGGCTTCGAGTGTGTGCTTCGGGTTCGGTGGCCTGGGAGAGCGTAGCAATCGGTGCTACCCCATAGCGACCCTGAAACTTCTCGTCAAAGGGCAAAGCCTTCTTGCATAGTCGACTGGCGAAAATACCGGCCATCCTTCATCGAACGCAAAGATCGTAAATGAGATGTTCCCATAATCTAGTTCCAGTATATCTTGCACAACTCCACTCCACGCAAGAGATGGAATGCGCATCCCCGCCGCCGTTTGCCTCGAAAGGTTGATTTTCTTGGTTTGTACACCTAGCCCATGACTCTCGAACCAGTAAGTGGCCGTGGAAGATCCAGCAAAATAAAAAGACAACCCGGGACGGCCCTAAAGTCCACGATGCGAAGACCTGGGAATTTCTAAAAGGTCGAGTACTGAACAATCCGGGTCCTTGTGGGACTATCGGCTTTTTTCCATGTTGCGAGTCAAGATTTGTTAAGTTGGAGAATTCATTAGTGATGTTAAGGATCGACAGTTGCGGTGCAGCGCCAGTCAGTCGTCGCATCCTTACAATGCGTCGTTCTGCCGGATGAAGTAAGCTCTACAATACCCATGTTAGCCTCAAGTCAAAAGCTAACCAGTACAGCAGTGGGGAGTCAAACGTACTTTGAGGCTTCGTAGGCTGACCAGCAAATTGCGGTACTCGGCATGGTAGTGACCACCCTTGGTCCAACTCCCTTGAAGAAACCTCTGAATCCTTCCCTTTGCAAGAGCAACCTTGCCCCAGCCATGAATCCGTTGACACTCCTCAACTCAGGGTCCGTCGCTGTTCCCCTTGTTTGCAGCATTGTCTTGATTACATCCATGGGTGTCGTGAGAGCCGCAGCAAACCCCCCAGCAACACCACCTGCCACGCAATGAGTGGCAGGATCATAATGCTTCGTCGGGTTCATCACGGTTGATATAGACTCGTAGGCGAGAAACTGGAGAGCCGTGAATGGCACCGTCATGGAAAGAGTCGTGGGATAGGACACGTAAAATGCACCCAGACCTTCGGTTCTGTAGACGTATTTCGCGCAGTCCACCATAGACCGGTACATTTTGGCGGAATCTCGCATCTGCATGCGCTGCTTGATGACTGAACGATACCAGTTGTTAGCACCATAGCACCTAGGCTCTGCTCGTCAACAACGTCTGGCGAAGTGTCATTGCCGTACCATCGAAAGGATTCATCAGGGCGTCACTGGCAATGGTAGCACAGGCCCCGCTCGTTACTAAAGCAACCGGTCAGATGATACACCTCAAGCCTACGGTCGAGAATAAAAACAAGTGGTCACAACATACCAGCAGCTAGAGGGTGGTGAACTCCAGCTTGGTTACCTCCCATGATGTGCTTGACAGCCTCGTACGTCGCAAAGTAGACGGCGTGAGCAGGGCCTTAAGGTGGTTTAGTAAAAAGTGCATAAAAGAACGTACGAGGACGGTCGAGTACCCACCTGCTCCTGCAACAACGCTCGACACACCTCGCCAGAGACTGAGGAACCCTTCTCCGGTAGCGATGCGAAACGTACCCTTGGTCACCCCATTGTGTACATTGGCCGGACCGGATGTTAGGACTTGCATTCGCGTCTATGTCGGAGCAGTGGTGTTAACAAAGCCTGATGTGGAATGCGACAGCATAGAAATGGGTCATACCTTAATGGCATCGATCGGATACATGACTGTATGTTCCTGAACCACATGTCAGTCTTGAAGCCGTCTCTCATGTCCTCACGTGTTCTCGTACAGCTATGCCTGCAAACGCCCCTGCTGCCATGTTTTGCAGCAGGGAGAAGTTGGGTGGGAGCGATTCATAGCTATCATGGAGTGTTAGTGAACCTTTATCCATCACATATGTTGGCGACCGAGACCGGCAGGGGAGAGGTCCCGTACTCATATTCCTCAAGGGGCTCCGCATTTGGCTGGGCCATTGCGGCCGCAGCTTCAGATGCCTCGTCGTAAGGTTTCGGTTGAAGGGTAGCCAGGTTGACAGTTGTCAAAGCGACCGTGACACAATGGATCAAGGCCTGGGAGGACGAAGGAGCAACGTGAAACTTGGAGTATTGAGACGGAACCAAAGAGAGGTAAGGGGGCTCGCCCAGCTGGATAGCTATGAGTGCTGGTTGCTCAATCGGCACGCGACGGAATGTACGGGATTGGTGGGAGCGGTTAAGTTGTAGGTTACTGGATATATCCAAAGAGCAGCCGGGGAGATTGGAAACAATGATAATCTACCTTAGTCGAAAATGGGCATGGAAGCTTCGTACCTGTGTGGTCGAGGAAAATGGAATGAAATTTTATGTTCGATGTCAGGTGCCCCCACAGCAACCTTATTAAGGTGTGACATGCCAAATTATATTAGGCGTGTAGAGTAATTACGTCGATCCTATATATCTGTACTTATTGCCCCCAGTTTTTCCCAATACTTATATATCCCCGTAAAGTACTATAAACGTTACTTAGATAAATATATATATATATATATTTCCGTACTTTATTTATATTCTTATAGTTATAAGTATAAGATATAGAGTAACTGTAAAATAACGTAGAAGAACTAAGCTTATACTCTTAACCGATTTTGACACGCCTATCCACCACGGGCACGTAATACGAGTAAAATCGATAAAACTATTAAGACAGAGATTATAATTACCGCCTCCTTCCCGGGATACTATTATAGCGGCACCGTAATACCGGTGCTACGATATAACCGGAAGAATTATAGGATAGCGTTATTCCGACCTCGACTACGCAGAACTCGTAACGGACTTACTTTTTATAATATAAGCGCTCTCCCCCCCTCCCGAGGCAGGATATAGCGCGGAACCGATATAAGACTAAAAGGGGACCACCACGCCCCCCGGAACTAAGAGTAGCTAAGATTAAAGCAGAAATTCAGGCCTTACTAGCTAATAAAAATACGATTAAGTAGGTTATACAGCTAGTAAAAGGACTAATTATAGTATATAGTATACGTAAGGATACCGACGCGATACTATTAGCTTACCTAAATAACTTTATCCGCTATATTATCTAAGAGGAACTCTGAAAAGGAATAAATAGCGTAAAAAAGACCTAGGCTAACGTTATAGCCCGGGCTCCCGTGATAGTATTACCACGGGACCCCGCCTCCCTTAAAATAATCCTAGCTAGGTATTACTAGGAACTAATTATCCGCTAAGGAACCCTCCCCGAAGACTAGCCCCTTAAAGCTAGGACCCTAAAGGAAATTATCTAAGCTATAAATACTATAACTACTCGATATAACGTTATAGCGGTATAAAAGCTATTTAGTAAAGATATCTGCCTTATCTTTACCAAAAGGGTATAATACTAGTTTACGTATAAGGAGTAATAGTTTAAGAAGGCCTTTAGTAAAGGAGCTACCCTAGCTATACGCACTTACTTAATACTCGCTAAGGCTATCCTTAAGGAAGTCCTTAACGTCTTATCTAAAGAATACCTACTAGTATCCCTATAAAATATAAACCCCGAGGCTGAAATCCTCCGAGTATAATAGCGAGTATCCCGCTATGATACTAGTAGGGTAGCGTTTTTTCTTATCGAATCGGCTTTACCGGAAAGGGTAGTAAGCTTTATCCGGAATACCCTTCTCTTTAAGGGGGGTAGCTACATCTACGAACTATATAATCCTAACCTTAGCCCCCTAAGATACTATAAATACCTATACTTCGGCTATAAGACTAACGGTTACCTTCTAGTAAAAAGGGTATACTGGTATTAGGCTAAGCCCGAATTAGCGTACCTATAAAGTATAGGCTACTATAACGCTACGGCGCCTAAGCGCCCCCGCCGCTATACCGCCTATACCGGAGACTATAATACGTTTAACGACTTATACTAACTACTAAGAAAAGAGGCTAAGAAGACCCGTAAAGTATATAAGTACTAAGCTAGGGACTTCGATATCACCCGCTAGACTAAAGCGGTATACCCACGGTAGCTATAGATCTTCCCCCTAATTATTATCGTCTAGGACTAGGACCGGCCCCTTTATAAGGGTAGAGAACGCCGCCTGAAAAGGACTAAAGGATAGGAGGGCTCTCCAATACTAGGCCTAATACGTACCTATATAGTCCTCCGCGGGGTTAGTAAGGTATTATAGTAGGCGCTATAAAGCTAAAGCTAGACCCCGGTTATACCGGGCATGTTATCTTAACCCTCCCCCTCTTTTAATTAATAAGACTCTATATTCTTTTATAGAATATAGGGAGGAGTTAGGCGCATCGGGAGCTCCCGCTCCGGTGCCGTGCCGAGTACGATATAATAGTAATCTAAGAACCTAGCCTTAACCCCTACACGAAAAGCCTAGCCTACCCCTCCTAAGGGGTATACCGCCTAATCTAAGGAGGGGGCCGCGCCCTTATATATATCTATAAGAGATATCCGCTATATATATAGATATAGCAGGCCTACTAGGATACCTACAGGGTTACTTTTAGGACCGGAGATAATACCCTTATAATCTAGTTAATCTACTTAAAGAACTACTAACTAGCTAGGATCCCCTAGAATACGCCCCTATAAGATATATTCGATATAGCACCGCTATAGGGCCGCTATATTCTTATAGGGGACTTTAAACTATACTACCCCCTTTAGTTATGACTACTATAATACCACCTCTAGGCTAATACTCTACTTACCCTTATAAACCGGTGGAACCTAGACCTAGTAAACCCCTTAGAACTACTATATAGCACCGCCTAGGCCGGCGTGCTAGGACTATTAACCTTATATAGGCGATATAAGGACTCCGCTATATCTTTAGCGGCCCCGATAAGACCGTTATCGGGTCAGACTACGACTTATAGATAGCCTAGATCTATATAAAGATAAACACCGCGGCGAGCGCCGCGATAGCACTAGTATAGGACCTAGCTAGGCCCTATTAGGTTTAAAAGGACTTTAACCCCTTATAAGTCCCCTAGCTTATAGCTACGTAATTATAGCTAATTAGCCCCTTTATAATACTAGGAGATATTAACGCCGTACTAAATAGCCTTACTAAGAACCTTATAACCCTAGCCGATAAAACCGTACCATACCGCCGCGGGGGTACCCCTAGACTCTTACCTACCCCTTAGTAGAACACGGAACTTACTACTCTTACCGAGGAAGCGAGGCGCTTTTACCGTAGATATATATTTAGGAAGTCCCGGAACCGATAGGATAAGTTCTAAGAAGCGGAGAGGCACTAAGATAAGGCTATGGCGGCAACAAAGCGGCTATACTAAAGATACCTACTTTATATAACCAGGGAGAATAATAACCTCCTTTAGCGATTATAAAAATAGGTATAAACTAAAGGGGGAGTACCGCTAAACCCCTTATCGGTATCGTTACTATACTAAGACGATAGCGATAACCCGGCTACTATATATACCGAGAAGGCCGAAGTCCTTAACTAGAAGTTCTTCCTTACCCCCCTCCTTACCGCTCCGAGGCCCCTAAGCGCGGAATTCCCCCTTAGATAGGATATCTACTACGATATTACCGTAGCGGATATATAGGGGCGCCTTAAAAAGACTAAACCCTAGGCGGTACTAAGGTCTAATAGGATCCCGGTAAGGCTTCTAAAAGTATATAGACCCCTCTTATATTAAAGACTAAGTACTATCTTTATAGTATATTTTAAGGTAGGCCATTACCCGAAGAGGTGCTATTATGCTACCGTGGTAGTGCTTAAGAAGGAAGGTTAGCCGCTAGCCGATATAAGATAGTAAAGGGCTAACGACCGATATTACTCCTTAGTATAATAGATAAAGTCCTTAAAGAGATACTAGCCGACTATATCGTTATTATAGCGGAGGAGTATCGGCTCCTTCTGAAAGGATAAATAAGTAACCGGACTAGGCGAAGTATAAAGATAGCGGTATAAAAGGTTATAGAGGCTATAAGGGCGAGCTAAGCCTATAGCGGTACTGCTTTAATACTCTAACTAGATATTAAAGGCGCCTTTAATACTATCCCTTACTCTCGCCTCCTTAAGGTACTTAAAAGGAAAGGCTTTCTCTAATAGCTTATTACCCTAATTAGTAGCTTTCTTTAAAACCGTATAGCCTAGTTACTACTTAATAGCGAAATACCCCCCCCGTAATACCTCCGCAGGGGGGTACTATAAGGCTCCCTAATCTCCCCTATCCTCTTTATCCTCTATATATCCACCCTTTATAAGGAGCTAGAAAAGGTCTTTAAAATAATAGTAGTAGGTTTTACTAATAATATAAATATTATCGCCTTTAGTAAAATAAAGGTATAAACACGGTACCGCCTAGCCACCGCGTAGCGAATGTACCTAAACTAGGAGATAGCGAGTAAACTATAATTCGAACTAGGTAAGTATATCTATATCCCCTTTATAACATCACGCTAACCCTCCTTTACCCCGCTCCCTTTTAGCGCTACTTCAGTACCGGTAACGGAGGCGATAAGGCTCCTAGGCGTATAGCTAGATAGGAAACTCGACTTCCGGCGATACGCTAAAAAGGTAAAAAGCCGACTAGCCACCTAAATATATACCCTTTTAAGGCTTAGTATAGTAGCGTAAGGGTATAGCTTCGCGGATATAAAAAGACTATACCTTATAGTAATAAGACTAGTAGTTACCTATTACGCCTTAACCGTTTATAAGATAGGGGCCGGCCCCCAGCACGGCCCTATAGCGGCACTTATAATAGTATAGAACTAATACCTCTAATTAATTACCGGAGCCTATAAGACTACGCCGATTAGGGTCCTCGAAAAAGAGACCTTTATCCCCTCTCTTAACCTATACCTTTTAAGCCTAAGCGCCTAAAAGATCCTCCGGGTATAGGAAAAGGGGATAGAAAATAAGATATTAGCCGGAGTATACGCCGCAGCGAGGGCCTTAATAACACTAAATCGGTATTATAGGACCCGCGCT